CCGGTTCAAAACTCCTTCGGCCAATACATACTCAATACACTTCATAGTTCCGAGTCCCGCGAATATTCAGACACCAAAATGAGCTGAATACGAATCATTTATTTGAACTGAAATCTAATGGACAACATTTTCAACTTCGACCGATTTGTGATTAGGCATAGTACCCATTCAATAACCACTGTGAATTGTTCACTCACTTTCAACACACCAGACACATGATATGAAATGATTCCAATTTTTCAGAGTTTCAGATCTTGACATTTTACTCTGATTTTACAAAATATAATTTGGTTTTGAAAAACAAAATTCATCAATGAAAAAGTCTAATTATTTCGTTCAGTGAATTGATATCAATGTTTATGTGTCTTATCATAGAAATTATATCTACTCATAGTTACTTATGCAACTGTGTGTATCTTACGTGACCTTAAATCAACTCTTTTCATTATTTCAAGTGGTCAGCAATGAGAAGGATAGAATGCTACCTAGAAACGTAGCAACAGTTATTTCTGACTAATCGATAATAACAATCATATCTCTTATAAATTCACTTTTAATGTATAGTGACTTATTTTTCAAAATTATGACATTTTATTCATATTGAATTGAATGAAATAATTGTAAGGAACTACTAATTTCTAAACAAAACATGAATGGACCATTTCCAGTTTTTACTCTCGATTCTTAACTGACCGTTGGGGTAAATCATAACAATTCATTGTTAACGCGTACATGTACTTTAAAAATATTCCCCCGTAGTCAATGAAATCACGTTGAATTGTACGAATTAATCTTCCCAGACTAAATAACCCGGCACTAGTTTGTATAAATATAACATAAACATCAGTACAAAATTTTGAAATAAAGATTATTCATTATAAAGCTATGAATATTGCTGTTTTCCATCTGAAATCATCAATCGATCATTGTTAGACCACCACTGTAAACCTGGAAGCACTGGATGACCGTCCCTCCTAGTATGGAACTCATCAGAAGTGCGCAACTACGCTTCCGCCCGCAGGACTCGAACCCAAGACCTTTGTGTCTTCGTGCGAACGTTTAGACTATAGTCAATCTCGACTCGGTCACCACTAAAGCTTCATGAACTAAGCGGTTGAGTAAAATCAATCGAGAAGCACTAAATCATATCTAATATAGGGAGGGACATGGATGAATACCACTGGTAAGATATAAACTAAACAGCTGGTCATTATTCCCTACAGCTTCCCACTTATTTCATAGCTGACAACACTTTGCAATCAAAAAATATTTCCCAAAAATAGAATTCAAGAACCAGTATAAATCAATGCAAACCTAATGAAAAATTATATTCATACTTGATCATTTGTAATATCAACAAAAGCTTTTAAGCGTTGACAAACACACAAACAAAACTCCCCGGTCATGTTGTTTTTTTTCGAAACCAAGTTATCACAATATATTTAGAAGTTCCGTAGAATATAGATTACAATGGAAATGAAGCGCAATCAACAGAAAGTATCAATTAATATATGGAGAGCGAGAGAGCGAGAGAGAGGAAAATAAATAAACAAAGCTTGGACGTATACAGAAGGAAAAATTCTAGTAATTTATTTTCAAATTAAGTAAGTAAGTAAGTAAGTAAACTAAGCACAGATTAAAATGTGAAGTTAAAAAAGCATACAAATCAGTCAACAGATATAGATATATTTATCTGTGATAGAAACAACCACACTAAGAGCACTAAACACAAAGATCGATCTCAACTAATGTGAAATGACTGAGAATTACCAGTTAATGTTAAAATAATAAATTTTTCTATACATGGTTCACACAAAAAAAAGTGCAGTAAAACATCTCACTATGTGCCCCAAACTGATTTTGTCAAGAAAAAAATGAATGACAGAGAAATAGTTTGGACACAGAACAGTTAGTTTATTTGAAAAGCTTAACGAAGAGAAACAAACACCCGTTCACATTGATATATATATTTTTAGCAAGTACACACATTTTTCTCCGTTCAGTGTTTCAGTGTTGTATGGAAAAGAAGGAGGAGGAGGAAACAATTGAAACATTGAACTGGGTGGGGAAGTTCATAAATAGTGTTTAGTGTAAAAATGTACGAAAATATAAAAAAAAAGCACAAACAAACATCCTTCACCAATGGAAACCAATCATGATCATAATAATTTGTCTTGTTCAGTCACAACAAAAATCAAAGTATATTAGAAAAAAAAATGTCACAATGATTTGTTGCTTGACAGCGTGTATAAAAAAACTACCAAACAACAGAGAGAGAGAGAGATGGTGTACAAGATGGAAAAACAGCACTGAGGTAAAAAAAAAAAATTTGATAAAATGAAACAGAGCGAGAGAGATCAATTAAGACAATAATTACTGTTGTAAAACAAAATTTCACCATTATATTCAATTATTGATTTATTATATAAATAAATAATAGAGGAAGTAGATTAGTATTATTACATTATTGAAAATTTTACTGGTATGAAAGAAAGAAAACAGTGATGAAAGCATTATAAAATAAAAAAAACAAAAGTATATTGGATAATAAAAGCTAATTATTTATTGATGTTGATGTTCTCTATTTCATTTTTCTGTATTATTATTATTATTATTATTTTTTGCAATGAATTTTTAGTTTGACTGACAATATTTTCAACTTGTTCAGGTATCATATATTCAGTTTGTTGTAAAGGTAATTGATATAAAAGAGGATCTTTAAGGCGACGTAGTTCTGATTTTAAATGAGCTAGTTCATCACGTAATTCATTGTAACGCTGAACGTCAAACGATGATTTATCAGCGGATTTATAAAAGCGTTTAAGATATTCACGATCAAACACTTGAGGAAGTGTATAATCCTGTGATAATAAATGATTTTAATTTAGGCAACAGAAAAAAAAATAATAAGAAAAACTGATGTATCATTCAGGAGTGAAATTTTCAAATGAAAATAGATCAAATGTTATTAGTATTCTAACAGACTGTTCGTTATCTATAAACATCAGAGTATCTTTTCAACATTACATAGATGATAAAAAGAAATGTAGGTACGTACTTCAATCAACACATTTATCCGGACACAGAGTGTAGTAGTAATGGACATTTATCCAAACAGGAACTTCTTATTTATAGTTTAGATACGAGATATTTATAAGTTGACCTTAAAAAGCCCGGGACCTATGGTTCTTGTTATTTGAAACTTATCAGCAACGTGTATTTATAACAACCTTAAAGGAATTAATGCTTCCTGTTGAATTCTCTCTCATTTCACAGTTAGAGAAGTTTCCATTGAGCTACTTTGGCATCGACTGACCTTTAAGTTGTACTAAGTTATTTACAATTGAGTGATCATGAAGTACTGACTAATTTCATGTTTGTGTAGTCCACACAGAAATTGAGCTAATTAAACAATCAGTATTTCGTTAGCCAGAATAAAGTTTTAACTGGCTGAATGGTTCTGTGACGATGTCGAATCACTGAATATAAATCTCATTACATACATAATATGGCTCTTGACGATCAGAAAGTGGCGGACATCAGTTCTACCTTAAGAATTACTCAGTACAGAATCACTCTCTTGTAACAAATGAGTCTACAGAAAGAGATGCTGAACTAATCACATGTTTTTTTTTTATAGAAATGTTTTGAACGGATACAAAAATAACGCATCAAATTATGCATCAAAACAGTTAGTTTGTTTTTTTAATTTTAGATTTAAAAAAACAAATTGATACAATTCGATTGCTAATTCCTAATACGACAGATTAATCACATCTCTCTCTGTGTGTGCGTGCACTTTTGTATCTTTCTTACATGACACATACCGTTTGATTGAATCATCCAGACAGTGAATAAAAGGCCTTAATGTATCATAAATACGTGAATAGTTTGGTTTTTTATTTTTAGAAAACAAATTTACACGTCTAATTGTCTATTTGTCAATGCACAAAAAGTGTATGTCAGTCGCGAAAAAAAATTGATCCATTTCGAAAAAATGATTCATTTAACGAACGATCAATAGTTTTAACCAGAAATAGACGTAGATATATTTAAATACTTGAATTGCTACAATATTCATTAACACTGTCATGTGGCTCAGTTAAAAAAAAATACAGGATTAATGAATTGAGGAGAGTATTAACAATGAATTATTCAATTGTCTGCCAATAAAAAGGGGGTCATAACTGTGTTGTGTGATACAAAATAATCAATGTACACGGCGGATAGAGTTGGCTTGACATTTAATAGAGTTTTGCTTTCATTTTATTGCATTGTATACCAGTGGAATTAGCACGTACACTTCCCATCCACGATAGCCGTTAGTAAGCAAATGTACTGTTAAAAGACTGCCGCGACGAGCTATGTTTTGTGGTGTAGGAGTAGGTTGGAAGAAAACTAGGGGCGGCCAGACCAAAACATGGCTCAAATGCATGAAGTCAGTGACAAGTGGACTGAGTCATGTTGGTAGGTGTAGGCTATCTGGTTGGGGTCCACGAGACCAAAGTCACCAGTGGTTAGAGACCTTGAACGACATGGCTCAGAATCGTTTGCAATGGCGCCGGTGCATCCACTCTTTGTGTTCTATGAAATTCTAAGCTTCTGCATTCCTCATAATCTCTCACCTTTCTCCTTCTAAATTTATCTTACTGAATTATACTTCTCGAATCAGATCTTCGCTCCCTAATCTTCTCCATTACTGCTAATACTTCTACCATAACTATCACCCTTGGATTTGAACTGATAATTGCGTCTCTGTGCTGATTTGGTATGGCAACCTGAACTGATGTACGTATGTACGAAGTTCTGCGTTGTATCTGTTTGTCTGTCTGTTAAAAACAGCAAGGAGGAACTACATGTTATCTACTACTTACAACTGAATTTATAACACTTGCTTTTCAAATGCAAAAATGCACTAATCGCAATTAGTCTTCATCAGTGTACACGACGAGATGAGATTAACAGGATTGGAATAATGCCAAAAATATATTCAAGCTAACCTGTCGTGTGATCACATAATAGGCATACATTGCCATACTCGTTCCGTAGCCAACAAAATATGTCACTGGTTCCATAATATCCCATGAATATTCCCACCATGTTAATCTTGCCAATAATCCAAATTGTATACCCATTGCACCTAATCCAAGCCAAGTAAGCCAACGTGTTCGTTGTGCTGCTTGTACAGCAATAACGGACTTTTTCTAAATCAGAAATTATCAGAAGACTAAACTCAATGAAAAAAGTATTACATAATATACTAACTGTCAAATATTGAGAACCATTGACAAATATGATGTTAAATATGGTTAGCTGCTTTGTTTAACTTGAGACAAGATGCATGTCAGTTTACTTCAGATTAATTGATAGTCCTACCTAATCCTAAAGTAGGTACTTCAACAAAGATTCTTGAATTTGATTCTTGATCTTAATAAACGCATTTCTAACAACACCGGACTAAGCTAAATCATTTTGAATAAACCCCTTAACTTCTGTAACTACTGGCCCGACCGAAGCTGCTACCTTGACGTGGTGGTCCAGCTTGCCTATCGTGATGACCCAACCGAGCTATACTGGCTGGAACACATGTTCCTGCAGGTCCTACCATGCCAGGCAGGTCGATTGGAGAACGATGAGACTAAAAGCAGCTACCCAAGGTCTGAGGGCGAAGTCGTACTGCTGACTGCAGAGCGGTGTGACAGCAGTAAGGTGTTTCCCTCGGACAACCAGCATCTGCAGCGATGCTGCCTTCTCACAAGGAAGGAAGGGTTAGAAAAGGTCGGCCCTAAAAATGTCACACCTCACCCTACCTCACGGATTTCCGTCTCCTTGGGTAAGGGTGCCCACTAAGGGCCTTTAAGAACGGAGCTAATCCTCTAAATACCTCTCATAAAAAGGCCGAGCGTGACCGGCCTCAAGCAGTTGTCCCTTGGACTCTGCGGTCACGCACCAACACTAATCCATCTTCCTTTTCAGGTTCGTCAAGAAACAACCTTCCACGGTGTGGGCAGCCGGGAAGTGATAACCGCCCTCATACCCGCAACAGCACACGAGACAAAATTGTTCAAAATCAAATCCTTCCTACATTCCTTAATACCTCTCTTATCTCCACAAATAACTCTTCTCACATTCATTTATTACAGTGCACAGCTAATGCAAACGATGAGAGTTTGCGAAACGTCGTCCCTGGTCTCCTTAAACCCCGTTCCAAACTACATGTTGGAGCATTCAATGTACGGACATTGTGTCAAATAGGGCAACAGGCGTCATTAGCTAGGACTTTAGAATCTCGTTCCATCGATGTGTGCTGTGTCTCGGAAACGCGCATACAGGATCCGAGTAGCATCACTCATTTGACCTCACCATGTCAAGATAAAGAAGCAGCTCGATTTACCCTTCGTGTATCCGGTAGCCCTGATGCTGCTTCTAGGGGCCTCGCCGGTGTAGGTATAGCATTGAGTCGTAGGGCAGAACAATCTCTCCTTGACTAGATCCCTGTAGATAGTCGCTTGTGCGCCGTCCGACTCAACGGGACAGTAAGGACTCGGAAAGATAGGGACAGTCGCCGTTGCCTCTTCGTCATATCAGCTTACGCCCCCACTCACTACAGTCCAGACGATGTGAAAGACGAGTTTTACAGAAAGCATTCGGGCCTCCTGCAAAAAGTTAAGCGCTCTGATATAGTTATAATGGCTGGTGACTTCAATGCTCAAGTAGGTAGACTAGGTGAAAATGAAAGACACCTAGGTGGATGTTACGGTCTCGCGGCTCAAAGAACAGACAATGGCGACCGTCTGTTGCAACTGTGCTCAGATAACCAACTATTTCTAGCAAACACTAACTTTAGGCATAAGAAAAAGCATCTGATGACCTGGAGACCCCCAAAGTCGTCTCAACATTGGACGCAACCAGATCGCATCGCAATCAGACACCAATGGATGGGTTCGACAGAGGACTGCCGCTCGTTCTGGGGCACATGTTTAGATTCAGATCATGCCTTAGTGCGAGCACGTATTTGTTTGAGGCTTGCTGGACGTAGGAAAGACACCGTGAGGAAGCCTCTTAGGGCTTTACTTGATGATAATCAAGCTAAGAAAATGTTTCAAGAGGAACTAGAAAAACAGTTAGGCGGCCATGCAAGTGATTCCCATCCGGAGTCAGGTTGGAATGATATAAAGAAGGCTGTGGAAACAGCAGTGATATCTGCTAGCAAGGTAAACCATAAGGCTAGGATGAAGCAGTGGATTTCAGTCGCATCCACCGAACTGATGGATGCACGAAAACGCATCCCACCTGACACTGAACATGATGAAGAGCGTACTCAACTTAGGCGCAGACTTATAAAAAGTCTACGTAACGACCGTGAACAGTGGTAGGTGGCGAAAGCAAAAGTGATGGAAAAGGCAGCGGCGATAGGCAACACTAGACAACTTTTCCGCCTTATCAAAGAAACCGGTATTAGGAACCCGAATGTAAGTGAGACTATCTCGGAAAAGGATGGTCTTATTATCCATTCTCAATCTAGGAGGCTGGACCGATGGGCAGAACACTTTAGGGATCAGTTCAGCGGGCCTTCAGCCACTCTTCGGTTGCCCACGATCTCCAGTCATCCTGAATGGCAAATCGATTTAAGTCCTCCCAGTCTACATGAAGTTGAGAAAGCGTTAGGAAATCTAAGGAGAGGTAGAGCGGCAGGTCCCGATAGGCTTACCCCTGAGATGTTTAAGGATGGTGGTCCAGTTTTAACGGTTAAACTGACCGAGATCTTAGGTAGAATCTGGGAACTAAACGTAATCCCATCTGACTGGTCTCAGTCGCTAGTTGTCCCAATCTACAAGAAAGGACAGAAGTCCTCTTGTGACAATCACAGGGGAATAAGTTTAGCTAATATAGTTTCTAAATTGTTAGCCTCGATTATACTTAGACGTCTAACTAGAGCTCGTGAAGAGCAGACTCGAGAAAACCAATCTGGTTTTCGACCTGGACGTGGTTGTATAGACCACATCTTCACACTACGACAGGTCCTGGAACACAGACACACATTTAGACGTCCGACAATAGTCGTGTTCCTGGACCTTAAGGCGGCATTCGACTCAGTGAATCGTGAGGTTCTGTGGCAGTGTCTGTCATTGAAAGGTGTACCAAAGAAGTACATTAACCTTATACAAGCTCTCTACTTGAAAACTACTGGTCGGCTGAGAGCATATGGCGAACTGTCATCTGAATTCTCTACGTCAAGTGGTGTCCGTCAAGGCTGTCCACTCTCTCCATTCTTGTTCAAATTGTCGTAGACATCCTCTTAGAGTTAACATTAAGCTCGTCAGATTTTTCAGGGTTTGACCTTCTACCAGGAAAGTCGCTTACTGATCTAGAATATACCGATGACATAGTTCTGTTCGGTGAAGACGCTGACAAAATGCAGAGTCTTCTGACTACCATAAGCAACAATGCGAGCATGTTCAGGATGCGGTTTTCCCCCTCGAAATGCAAAATGTTGCTTCAAGACTGGGTTGCTTCGGCACCTGAACTAGTGATAGGGAGTGAAGTAGTCGAGCGTGTTGGTCGCTTCACTTATCTGGGGAGCTTATCAGTGCTGACGGTCTGGTGACTGACGAAATCTCAGCTCGGATACAGAAAGCTCGATTGGCTTTTGCCAACCTGCGTCATTTATGGCGTAGGCGTGATATCCGTTCGCTAACCAAAGGACGGGTGTACTGCGCAACAGTTCGCTGCGTTCTCCTATATGGATGTGAAACATGGCCGTTAAGAGTAGAAGATGCTCGTAGGTTACTGGTTTTCGATCATATATGTTTTAGAAGCATTGCTCGTATATCGTGGGACAACCGAGTAAGCAATGCTGTCGTTAGGAAACGAGTACTAGGTAAGGATGGCAGATCAATCGATGAAGTGGTGAAACTTCATCAGTTGAGGTGGTTGGGACATGTGTTACGTATGCCTAACCACCGACTGCCTCGACGAGCTATGTTTTGTGGTGTAGGAGTAGGTTGGAAGAAAGCTATTGGCGTCCAGACCAAAACATGGCAGAAATCCATGAAGTCACTGACAAGTGGACTGAGTCATGTTGGTAGATGTAGACTACCTGGTTGGGGTCCGCGAGACGAAAGTCATCAATGGTTAGAGACCTTGAACGACATGGCTCAAAATCGTTTGCAATGGCGCAGGTGCATCCACTCTTTGAGCTCTCTCAAATCCTAATCTTCTGGATTAGCCAGCACCTCTACCTTTGTCTTTCTAACCTTATCTCACTGAATTATATTTTTTGAATAATATCTTAAACCCTAGTCTTCTTTATTATAACATTAATACCTCTACCATCTTTATCACTATGGGATTTGATTTGACATTTGCGTCTCTGTGCTAATAATGTGGTATGGCAACATGAACTTATGTACATACGTACGAAGTTCTACGTTGCAACTGACTGACTGTAACTACTTGATAGCGTGAACAGCATGACACTACTGATGCTTCTTCGATACTGCCGTGAACCTAAGATGATTGATAGTCAATATCATATTGAATTCTTATGACATATTAAACTGCAAGATCGTGCAGGGGAGTGAAGCTCACAGACCCATTCCAAATAAAAACTGGTATCAGACAAGGCTGCTTGCTTTCACCCTTTCTCTTTCTTTTGGTGGTCGGCTGGATCATGAAGACACCAATAACTCAAGGGAAGCACAGAACACAATGGACCTCTCGGATGCAGTTGAACGATTCGGACTTCGCAGACGATCCCACACACAATAAAACAATGTAGATGAGGACGGTTGGTAATCACTTCAACATCTCAGGAGGTTCTGGGCCACAAGAAGTACCATTGTCGGTACTCTTGAAAAAATTTACAAAAGGATGAATGAGAAGACAGCAATCAACATCGGCCGGACAAAAGCAGAGAAAGCCAAGGCACAAGCTGAATACACAGATGCAAACATGCAAGTGAAGAGGAGTATCAGAACCGATAAACGTAAGTACGTGGAAGATCTAGCAATGACGGTGGAAAAGGCTGCAAGAGAAGGAAACTTGAGACAGTTATACAATACAACAAAGAAGCTCACTGGAACTAGCGTAAACCAGACCGATCAGTGAAAAGCAAAACAGGCAAAGTAATCAGCGAAGTTGAAGAAAAGCGAAACAGGTGGTCAGTCAGTTGCAACGTAGAACTTCGTACGTATGTACATAA